CCCATAAACCAGCAGCAACCGTGCGATCACTTCTTTTCAACGGCAAGGATCAAGTCGAACAGTACGAACGATCGGGAGTAAACTGCGCAATCCCGTGCCTGGGGTGCAACCAACACTACATAGGTGAGACAGGCAAACAACTACACGCTCGCCTACACGAACACAAGCTTGCCCTCCAACGCGCTGAACCGAGGTCACAAATCTGGGACCACTGCTTACGAGATCGCAACAGATAACGCAAAGGTTGTTGCGCGAGCTAAGAAGAAGGGGGAACGATTAATCCTCGAAGCACCACATCTGGCTAATTGGTACAGCCGACAGGTAGACAAAAAAGACGTCACACTTGCAAAACCCTGACGACTGGCAGACCGATAGACGTAGAAACAGCACACAGGTGCATGGAGAAAAGATGGCTATTCAATTATCTCATTCATTTTATTTGTTTGACAACGAGTTGCAGTTTGGATCGAAACATTACAATAAACATATTACAATTCGGTGCAAGCCTCCATTCTCAGTATATGAATGACTAAACGAAATTTCCCCGGAAGCACACGACCGGTTTCGCGGTTCTTGCCGCTCGTCAGGCACGCGTATCCGGTAATCTTTTGTCAGTTCATTTATATACTTGTACCCAGGAAGTGTATATTTGTCACAGGAACCTTGTTTGCAACACCGGGTGACTTTCGGACAGACAGCTCTTTTAGAGCCGGTCCATTGAAGAATCAATGCTATGATCGATGTTTTGTAGGGAGATGGGGAAGATGCTACTAACCACAACAAATGTGACTTGATCGTCTTTGCAGAACATTTCATAGTAAGTAGTACATATATATGTATCTAACAGATATGAAAGACAATTTGTTTTACAAGCTGAAACCACGAAGTTACTTAAACGTAGTTGGCTAAGGATCTCATAATATGCACAACTAAACTTACTTTGGGGTGGTCCAAGATGACGAACAATATCGACGTAGTCGAGGATTTAACACCGGGTAGCGCTCCTGTGTGACGACAGTAATGAGAATAATAAAGACGCATTTTATTAAAAAGTACATGATTCATCTGTCGTGAAAATGTTCTACGGATTTGTCGCCTCCTGTTCCGTGACAGAACAATAATTCAGCATTCATCCTGCATCTGATTCTTGGAGAACGCTCATCACGAAAGCCAGTACAATCATCTATGAGTGTCACTCTTTGTTCAATGTGATACAGCTAGACAACTATCTAATGCCAGAGGTTAGTTTGGCCAAATATTCCCCTTATTCTGCCCACCACAGGCCGCGGAAAATAGCGCATGACCAGAAAACAAACTTAATGGTATGCGTACTACATGCCACAGTCATTGTGAACTACGGATATCACGCAACCACTGTATTGCGCGATTACCTCAAACTATACACGTTATTTGCCTCCGAAAGTCGTATCATGATCAGAGGTGGGTGTCTCGGGTTGTGGCTAGTTATCATTCCTTCAACCTTGCAAAATACTCCTTTGCAGTCAAGAGTCTCAACAGCATCGGCTGAGGAAGCCCTGCACACTACCTTCCCGTGGTGTATATGTTCCCCATCAATATGAGGGCAAGAAAAGTCAATATTTGGGTCGGTGAACCACTAGCAGTTCCCATCGGGGAGTTGGCTAAAAACCCTGATTCCAAACCAACCAAGAATAGGAGTACGAACCACACACACACCTTCCTGGTCATGGTAGTGGTTACTGGTTCAATTGAGTATCGAGGTGTATTGGGCACCTTGGATGTTTGACACCATCCAAAGGGTGTATGATCCGAGGAACTGGACAACAGCCCTTTGTGGTTTTTACACACCGCTTCGTTAACTTTTGTGCCCAGCTTTGACTAGCCGAAAGGTCCGGTTGTATATTCCCCAAGAGAGTTCATCCGCCGTGGCCTGGACAGTTTGTTAGTATCGCACCTGCGAGCAAATCATGGACCTATTTTCTTTTTATGAGGAGCATTGTACTGTGTTTTGTTTCGCACAGCCTGGACTCAGGTGTGTGAAACACATATTCTGCAACTAACTTTGATAAGAGTGAAAGGTTCCACGTTACATAAAATGAAAACTTAATTCCTCTCATGTTCCCCAAAACAGTTCGTGAAAATTTTTGGACTCCACAGGCAATAGGCGTTAAGTCATGAAGACAAAGCTTTGCAAAAACACTCCATCATTTTACTCCCCAGCTGGCGTCAAAATCATCAACTCACCAACAGAATCATATAGTTTCTTTTGCGCACAAACTTGCTCCATTCCCGATCTGCTTTTTCTCGCACGGCCAGATGATGATAACTATCTATTAATTCGGTAATCTGGAAGATGATAACAATCAGTAAATGTGACCTGCAGTTTACACAAAGATGAAAGTAAATTACATGGAGTAAAGTTGGAATCCCAAATCATTTCACTTTGGAATACTGACTGTTTTCAAGCCAAATAATCGATGCTGACATGCCACGCGCTCCACGTCAGACTAAAGAATGTATTTCCGTAAAAGAATTCTATCGCTTTAGGTGCGTTCTGGAATGCATCATAATGATCTGTGTTTACAGTCTCGGGTTGGGAAGCCGTACTCTCGTCGCGAAAGTGTTTTAACTTATGGGAGAGCAAGAGGAGCCGCACTCCGGGGTACAACCGAACTAACCATTAGGAACTAGTAAATTTACGACAAATGGAGAACGTTGCTTCCAAACATGTGTGTTTCCTATGTTCAAGCATGAAACCTGCTTTTATGCGATTAGAAATGGGCGATAACAGGGCTACATAAAGAGTTCGGAATATTTACATGAAATGGCATTTGAATATGTTAATCGGAGGAGAAAAAATGAGGTAGGGGACCTCATAGATGTTATACAAAACAACCATAGGAGTCGAGTCCAACAGCCAATTTATGCTTTCAATCCGGTGAATATTCAGCAGTCACTAAACTATTGTGGCGAACAGAGAGCAGGATAAGAATAACTACCGTCTAATCGTATTTACTTCTGTAGTTTTGAAAGTTTCTCCGACCGATCACATGTGATCCTCGAATGCGAAGGCCTGCTGAGTGATCATTAATATGCCTTCCGTCTTTGTCGACCGACCGGCTCGCGTTTGGCCCTGCGGTTAACTGCGTTCGATATGCACGGAGAAGCTCATTTGGTCTCATTTTCTTACACACCTTCGATCCCATTTGGAACAATGATCTACGGTCAGAATGACCCTAATTCGGCTCCCCTCTAACTCTCATAATGAAGCTGCCCAGTTTTCTCACTAAACGAAAAATTGTCTGAGTAGAAGGGGCTTCACGTAAGCTTTAGGCCTACAAAAGTGATGATCACAATTACAATTACTTTTCTTTACTTTTGAACTCATTTCTTAACGGGGTTTTACCAATCATGTTTAGTTCCAAACTTCCAAAACCGCTCTGCTTACAGTCGTCCTCAGTTCAGTTCACTTTGTACAACTATTAACCATAGACTTTCGTGCAGGGTTTTTGGTTGCTCTCATTTGGCCACCCATTTGGATGAAGGGGTAAAAGCAANTTAGAAAGTGGAAAGTAGAGTCGAAAATAAAATGGAAGATTTCTATATACTAAGAAACTGGGAAGATGCACGAGCGCCACTGTTCACGATCATTCAGTGTCTCTAACCATTGATTCCAGTGATCCCGAAGTTTTCATTCAGGAAGCCTAACTCGACCTTTATGACCGAGTCTCCTGGTCAGGTCAATCGCCTTTCATGATTTTCTATCTCTTCAAATATATACAAATACAAAAGCACCAAAAATTTCGTTTTTAACAGGAGTAAACGTAAAGAGCACACTCTACTGTAACTGTGGTGTGCTCTTTACGTTTACTCCTGTTAAAAACGAAACGTGCGTAAAAAATAAAGCTTTGTGGAAAACACCTTAAGAACAAGTGGGTATTACGAAGCTCGGTGTGCCGTCTGGAATTACTTCATTACAGCGATTTAGACGTTTAACTGGTGGAGAAGCAGAGCAATGATTCTGTATATTCTGCATATTCGTGTACACACATTGGGTAGTAGGGAGAGAACCAGTTGCCCTCTGCTGGGGCTAGAACCGAG